ACTTTCAAAGAAGGTTTAGTAGCATCCTTGTTGTTTTTTCGAAACTTTTTCAGTTTTAAGAATACCTACATGTGTTTTATGTATCATTTAATACATAATAAAAATATATAAACATTTTTTTTTTTTGAAAACAAGGTCTTAATGCATTTTAATTTCGCCTACATGTTTGACAGTAAAACTTTTTGTTTTGAACATTTTCTCTTTTATTTTTATTTCAAAACTCATTTTATTTATACCCTTTTTAGTTTAAGTTTCTTTCTTTTAAATTACTTACTTATTTCTTTTAGTATAAGTTTAAACTTTTTTTAAGACCAATACTGACGATAATTATTTTTTTCAGTGCAACTGATAACGACGGTGCAAGACAAATTGCTGTTGAAATACAAAGGGCACTATTACTCGAAAACTCCGTACTTGAAGAAAAGATGGCGATGCATCAACACGAACAATTGTTACGTCGGAGTTATTGTGAATAATGATTTCTCCATAAAGAAGGAACCAGGTGAACATTGTCATCCACCAAAATTCTTTATTGAGACCGATGATGGGCGATACAAACTTGTCAAAGATAAAGAGTACGGTAATAAGTCCAGCGACTATATCGTTTACGAATACTGATGATAAATATATAACAGTGTAATGTAACTCTGTGCTTGATTTTTCGTCGTCGTTTTTGATTATTTGCTAATAACATTCTAGTACATACATATCAGTGGTTTAAAGGGCAATTTACTCGAGATTCCAACACTATTTGATATTTTTGTGTACGGTCTACTTTTGTTAAATCAAAGTAACTTCAATGAAAGAAACATTAAAGTTAAGTTCAGTGTAAAAAATGTACATAATTATAATATTTGAAAATCGACAATGAAAACTAAACAGCGTATGTTTGACCACCATCTTTGAATAATTCAGCCGTTTGAACGCAATAATTTATTCTTAACATTTTTTTTTTTTGTGTCGTGTGTATAAAAAGGATATTTCTGGCGCTAGACGATAAATCAATTATTGTTCCATTAGACTGTTATTATTAACCATCACAATATAATTAGGTTTATACTAAATATCTACCTAATGATAGCGATACCTACATAGTAAAACGCTTAATATGTAGTTATTTTCTTACTTCTTAAATAGAAATTGGTAGTGGGAAAATATCTTAGTGTGTAATGTACTACTCTTTTTCTTAAAAAAATGTGTCTAGATTAATGGCTACTAAAATATGTAGGTACTACGCGTACGTAGGAAGTATTTGTCAAATTAATGGCGAATACAAATATTATCGTGAAGCAAATAATTATGTAATGAATATGTAATTTCTTCAGTTAGAATTGTGTTGTTATTAAGGCAATGTGTTTTGTTTAATTGTTATAAATATGTTAGTTTCTATATCCGAAATGTAACGGTTGCTGTGCAACTGAATATTTACTTAGGCTGGTTTGTGTGTCGCGCTGACCGTACGCTGACCGTACGCTGACCGTCGGCTCTGATAGCCGAGATATACGAACTTCTAGAAACCGTGCGCGCCGATAGCTACGCGTCCATCGAAAACGTTCCTAAAGGTTCATACTTCTCAGCCTTCAGCGCTGACGGTGTGCGTGCCGTCAGCAGACTAAAACCAGCCTAACATAATTATCAAATTTCTCTGATCCACATTTTGTGCAGTCTTTATGTTAAACATGCAAGAAATCGATTTAAAAATAATACTGTATTTTATAATTCACGTAAAATTACGTGTGTCCATATCATGTACTAGTTTCTACCAGCGGCTTCGCTCGCGTTATTGGTATAAAAATAGCATATACATTATTCCACAATACAACATAGTTTAATAAAAAATTTACTAATTATTGGTTACTAAGCAACGCTTTTTGAGCTGTATCTCTTCTTTGTCATTACAATATGTATATGAGATTATAATTGTACACATTTACAAATAGTTAAATTCGAGTATAATTAAGTATTGTAACCAAATTTGTTGTAGCATAACTTGTATAGTTTTCGTCAAATAAATGTGCTTGTGAAGATAACATAAAGCCAAGGATACTAGGGGACGTGTCCTACGACACGTGGCGCCAGCGACGTCGGGTGAAGTAGTGCGACGTTGCCGGACCCTGGCAACATCGTCGCAGTGGACATGAGTCGCGCGTTGTCATGTCGCCGATCGGCTTCGCTTGACATGTCGCCGATCGCCGATACATTTCGTGTGGCATTTGTCTCCCAGTTTACCCTTGGCTTATAAAAGTTTATTCTTATATTAACAAAATCAAAAACCATTGAGGTCTAATGGACCCTACACAGCTAAGTACAGGTTATTTTAGCACATTTTTGATGTCGAGCATTATACAAAATAGCTTTTTTCGTTAATGAAATGTCTAATTATAATTATGTCATTATAAAAACTATGATATTATTATTAATGTATTCTGTAACGAATAGTGCACATAATCTAGTGCTTAACTAGATCCTAGACGGATGAATAATTTGTGAATTTTAGTTTATAGGTAGTGTAGTTATTAGGAAATCGCTTTCGGCTTTTGTTTAAAATTTTAAGCATTCGTTCTTGTGACATTTGTTAGGGTGCGTCCACATCTAGCGTATGCGCCGCGAAGGCGTAGCTCTAGGCGGCGGCGTGAATTCACGGAGCATTCGTCAGATATGGACGCTCCCTTAGGTTTACTGTTTAATTTTTTGCCAAACCTTTTACTATTTTTTTCTTCTCAAAATTTTGTAATAACTCTGAATATATACTGTAACATTGTCTACATGTATAAGTACTAAAGTACTAGGTATTTTCATTTATCTACATCTTTACTGGCGCTACTTTTTGACAAAGAATTGCAGTATACCAAAATGCTTTTCATTTGATTAAATTAGTTTAGTTAATTGACTGCGCGGCCAGCTTAATTTTTTATTTTTAATAATTAATAACTTTAATTATTTCATCAATTTCTTTCAAGATTTTTTGACAAAACTGTAATTTTTGAAGTTGGTCTCGGGGTCTTAATTGTATTCTTTTCTTATTTGGTGTAATAAAGTGTTAAGTAACTATTACTGTTTCATTATCTGCTAATCATTAGAACCTTGGACGTCGCGGGCGCGTGGTGGTGACTATAGTTGCTCAAAACTCTTTGACGGTAACCAAACAGTACCGTAATAGCGCCTTCAAAAAGAAAATGTAGGTGGAGCCCTATTTTTCATATATTTATCAAGATACTGAATAAAAAGAGAATTTTCGCTACGATATATTACGAAATACTGTACAAACACAGGATGCAACCGAGATCTGGGTGCTTACTCTTGAAACCAATCTCAATGTCAATGCTATTTCAATCCGAATTAAATATTGAAATCCCAATAAAAACAATAATAATCAAAACTATACAACCCTTATCAATATAGCTGTAAAAACAGCATTCAGAGCACGGAATATAAAGCCAAACTCGATATCATTTAGTTCGTTAAATATCCACGCAATGTTAATGCAATGGGCGCTAGTGCTGCAACTCAAGAGTACGAAAATCACTATCCCAATTTCGATCGAAATTTGATTTAAGAGTAAATCCCCAGACCAGACGCCAACCACTTCAAATACAAAGGATGGACAAATTCGTAAAAAAAACAAGTATTTTTACAAAAAAAGTACAATCGACTTCAATGTAAAATATAAAAAAAAAGTTTGTTTACGTTCCCTATCTCAAAAACTACTGAAACGATTTTGATGATACTTGCAGTATTCCCTAAGTTAAATTATACCTATTACTAAGAATTACTCAAATTGGACTTGTAGTTCCGGAGATATGAGGGAACAAACATAAAAACATACAAACATACACTTAGGAGAAGCTGATAATACTGATATAGACTAACATATATATGAAAACTGGGCATTTCTGAAAATATTACATACATATGGTGAAATTGATAACCTCGTTCTTTTAAAGTCGGTTAATTATTCTATGTCGTGGTGGCTCGGTGGTTTAAGACGCCCGCTTCTCATGCATGAGGGTGCGGGTTCGAAACCTACCAACGGCAAGTACCAATGTGACTTTTCCGAGTTATATATACTTTCTAAGATTATCTAGACACTACTGACAAACGGTGAAGGGAAACATCGTGGGGAAACCTGGGCTTATAATTTCCAACTACAAGTTTGTAATCGCCAACCCGCATTGAGCAAGCGTGGTGATTAATGCTCAAACCTTCTTCGTGTAAGAAGAGGCTTTGCTCAGCAGTGGGCATTTATAGGCTGTTGATGATGATGATGAATTATTCTAAAATCTTGACAAAGTGAGGTTGATCGCTTAAATCAGGTAAATCCCAAGCTCGTTTACATTGTATAACCCTAGACTATAAGGCATCTTATAATAATGTGCTTCACATTTAAATTCTGATGCAGAGATGACCTCGGTATTCGACCTTTGGAGCGAAGTTTTATAGGGTTTTTTTAATTATTACGGTAGGTATTAGCTGTACTTACATTGTATAGACTTCTAGACCTCAGAATTTGTCAATCTTATGAGTATATCTTGATTAATTAGTAACAAATATATCGTACTTAGATTTTTATCAAAAGGAGGCTTAACGTGTTCTCTTTGACATGGGCGTCTACCTACACAATACAGGCTACGTTGTAAGACTAGAAATACTCCTCAAAAAACCGCATCAAAATTGGTTCACCCAAACGCGAGGTAATCGCGTATAAACATGTATTGTATAAATTCATCTGAAACTGCAAACCTCCTTTTTTGGAGTTGGTTAAAAAAAATAAAAATAAAAACAACTTTTCCAAATCAGCAGCTGTAGTCAAATGCCATTTAGCGCTTGTCTACATGTAGAATAGGAAACCAAATTATATGGATTTGACGTAAATTTTGACACTTGTCAGTGTCATTCCCATACATTCAGTTATCTACTCTCTCTGTAGACAAACGCTAAAGTGGCTTTTCGCTAAAGGCACTGAATTGATAAATAATTTATCTATGTCGTTTTTCAGCTCCATATACAGAAATGCTACTCAAAAATGGACGGACTTACCTAATGTACGATCATTACACATACACTTTTGGTTTTAAGACGAATGCTGGCACTAGATGGCGTTGTACGAGTACTTCTGAATGCAAAGCCTATATCCTGGTTGGGCATAGTGGAGATCTTTTAAAGGCCACAGGAACCCATGCCCATAAGGCCCCAAAATACCATCGCAGTGCCGATGGGACTTACATGAGAATTCACTAAAATAGTAAGGACTATGTACTTTTAATTTTCGTTATTAACTGCACTATACAATAGTTTACTTTCGCATTTACGTCTCTATATAATTTTTTACTCAATGTTTTTTTTAAATAAGAGGAATAAATATTAATATACGGTTATATTAGGATATACTGATACGTTACATTTACCTAATAATAGTTATATTATTATTTATTAGGATAAAAATAATCTACCTTAGATGAGTATATTATATTTTATTATATTCTAATAAACCATTAAATAAAATGTCATTAACACATGTAATCAGATATTTTATTTACAAATATTCGGCCAAACGCAACACCAATTATAAAGCATTGTTAGATATTCCGTCTCTCATAATCCGTATCTGTAATATATAAGCATACATATAATTAAGGTTTATAATTGTCTGTTACCTTTCTGAACTACATGAATCTTGGTTTCTTTTTACAGAAGATTCAGAGCCTGAAGGCCCGTGTACCAGATCTTCACGTGCCAATAAAAAATTAAAACCGTACTCACCTGAAGATGTGGAAAACGCGATCGAGAAGATTCTATCTCAAGCGTTAACCATTAAAGCAGCTTCACAGACATATAAGGTGCCTGTCACCACTTTGAAATTCAAACTCAGGGCCTTAAGACCAAAAAGAAAGACGCCTCTTCTAAAAATGGCGGTAACGAATGAAGAGGACTTTACTTTCAAAAAACACTTATTACAAGTGCATGAAATGGGGATCCCCGTCACTTTCCATGACATCATAGCAGTTGTGAAAGCCTACCTCACGGAGGCAGACAAAGGGATCACTTGTTATCGCAGCAACACTCCTGGATCATTTTGGTGCAAACAATTCATGCAAAGATATCCAGAAGTCAAAGAAATCATTACATCCAATCAACATAACACGAAGGGAAGAATAGTTCCCAACACTCCAAGAACTATAAACAACTTTTTCAATCGCTTTGAAGATGAACTCTACTCCAATTATGTAACTCCAGACAACATCTACACCATGGATGAATGTGGATTCGGAGTTGATCCAAAGAAAAAGAGTCTTTTATTTAGACGATCCTCTCGTCACCCAGGTCTGGATAAGCTCTGTGGAACATCAAACTACTCGGTTGTATTTTGTGGCAACGCCATTGGAGAGCTCATCGATCCATTCTTTATTTTCAAAGAAAGCGTACCCACGCCCAGTGAACATCCTCACTATTCTTCATCAACCAGTGGCTGGATAGACACCAGTGTATTTGACGACTGGTTAGAAAAGCATTTTGTGCCAACAATTGACGAAAAACATGGAAAAAAAATTGTCATTTGTGATAATCTGAGCGCGCATGTCAGCGTGAAAGCGCTTCAAATATGTGCCGAGAACAATATCACTCTCATTTGTCCTCTAGCCAATTCGAGTCATCTGCATCCATTTGATTTTGAGTTTTATGAAACCATGCAAACAGCTTGGCGTGCTGTGTTGCATAGATGGCGTGGAACACCAACGGGTCAGCTTACTCGCTGGCAGAAGAAATCTCTAGCCAGTGCTGTAAATCTAGGAATACCCAAAGATGTTTTCTGCAAACTTGTTAATCGAGCTATTGAAAATAATGAGTCAAGCTCAGAAAATATAGTGAATGGCTTTGCCAAGTGCGGCATCTACCCTCTGTCGCGAGAGGTTGTACTGGAGAGTCTGCTGCAAGAAAAAGGAGTCACAATAGTTCGTTAAACGGAAAAAATCACATCTCTAACGTATTAATCGATAACCTTAGTCAGTACATACACGAAATATTTATTTTATTATTTTCTCATTCGCATAATGATATCAGATTTAGTTGTTTTAATGTGGCATTGCTTTATACAAAGAATATGTACTAGTCATGCATTATATGCAACGCTTATATAGTAAGCAGATATGATCATGGTTATAGTGAAAACAATAGTGATGATGAAGGGATGATTAAAAATAAGAGTTGGCGAGTATACCTATTTAAGATTAAGTATTTATCCTTGACTTGAGAGCAAAGGAATGGAACCACTAGCATTTTTTTTCATTTCTTGGTAAATATTATCTGACATAGCATAACATCACGCCTTTTATCCCCGAAGGCCGAAGGGGTAGGCAGAGGTGCACATTACGGCACTTAATGCTACTGTACCATGTAACACCCACTTTTCACTATTTTATGTTTATGACTCCCATGTATTAGGGGGTAAGCCTATTGCCATATACCGGGCATAATTCCAGACTCCGTGCTACCACTGAGATTTTTTAAAAACCTAGTAAAACTTTGCCCGACCCGGGAATCGAATCGCACTTGCGACCACTCGGCCAACGAGGCATTCTTTCTGATACAAGTATTTTATTAATTGGTAATGTGTCTCGTATGAAATGGCAATTTAGTTACCTTTTAACTGAGAGCATTTGTCGTACAAGGATTTTTTTTTCAAGTTCAAACCATCTATGGTTTCTTTGCTCGCAAGTATAGTGATGATCTCATTAACTATACATTTTGGTCCAATCATTTTCCTGCTACATTCCTTCAATTATTTTCAGATGTTACTCTAGAATCATCAAATGATTAAGATTATTTTGTATATTTTTGCTGTATATTTGATATACTGGATATGAATCAGCTATGAAATTTAGGCCGATTATTTAGGAAAAAAAAATGTTCTTAGATATCTTTCGAGGAATCAAAAAATGGGTAAAAAATGAGGCTGATCTTACTAAGTATAATGAACTTTGACTATCGGAATTTTATTTTTATATGATATTTTTGATTTATGAAAATGCTTTTACCATATTTTCGCATAATTGTAACCATAGTTATAAGTCTTAGTTATTATTTTAGAATATAAATATTTGATCTAGTCTTATCATTGTGTGTTAGGTCATATTTTATGAGCACGTTTAGTTACATTATAGAGTTTTAAATAAACAATGGTACCTAATGAACTTAAATGAACCTCCTTTAACCAAATCAATTGTTTTTTAGTATTATTGTATTGTGAATCAAATCTGTAATTTACTTTCTTCGTGTTATTCCTAAGTTATTGAGTAAATCTAAGATTGCAACCAAAATGAGGACTCGTAATATACCTACTATTGACACAATAGATGCCGTGTCGGATGGACAATGATGTCCAATGCTAAAGGAGGATTATTAGCCTTTAACAATTTTTGTCGACACTTAATATAATATTTACACTTGAAACTCATTATAATTTTTTTTTGTATAACAAGGCTGTAGACAAGAAATGATGAAAAGGTATGAAAAATTAAAAAGAAACTAAATCATTCATACAATCAATAAATCAGTATTATTAGGTTAGGACCGGGTGTTTCTTCAATAAACTTTAACTTTGATTTAACAAATCATTATCCTCCCTCGTTGTTAAGAATCGCAGTAACTTATTAGCATCTGTATTTTATTGGATTGAGTGAGAGCAGTGACATGGCTCAATTTTTTGAAACTCAACTTTGTATTTTAATCAGCAGAATTGTTAACTTTTGCTTAAGGATAATGACGCCGTTAATTTTTTGTTTTTTTTTTTTGGAGAATCACCCGACCACGTAAGCTAAGGATTTTTAAAATCTTTTTGTATTAAGATGTCTGTAGTGAGTACGTAGTATTTAGTAACAATTCGTTTTGGAAGAAATGACATTGAATCTTTTTACACTTATAGAAGTCATCGCGCATCTAACAACACGGCTCCGGCATGGCTACAATCCAACAATTAACTTGTCATTTAAATATCAACTTTAAATCGTATTCGTATGACATATTTTATAACGTCAACATAAAAAAGCAGTAAGCGCGACACACGCGCACCTACGATCATCCTACTTACATCCTTTTTGTATTGTTTCTAAAGCACAAAATGCCTTGCCGGAGCCGTGCTTTTATGCGGTGACCTTGCTTCTCTATAAGTAGTAATCTTATACTCTTATACTTTATACTTATTATATAAAGCGGAAGAGTTTGTTTGTTTGTTTGAACGCGCTAATCTCCGTAACTACAAGTCTGATTTGAATAATTCTTTTTGTGTTGGATAGCGCATTTATCGAGGATGGCTATTGGCTATAAAACATCACGCTACGACCAATAGGAGCTAAGCAGAGCGTGTGAAACCGCGCGGAAGTAGCTAGTTATTTTATAAATGAGTCCCGCTGATATTACAATTGTAATTACCTATACATGTAATAAGCATTTTTAACGCAACATTTTTTCATAATCCGTGTAGTTTTTCAAAGTTTTCTTATCTCTTATACAATTTTTATGTCAAGGTTATGTGTTTTTGTAGTTTTTAAAATATAAATGTGTGTGTGTGTGTGTCGTAATCATTTGTGTTTCAAAACATGCCCCAAATGATATTTTCAGCCTTCTAGCAACGTTTTTCGTCTCACAGATTTTAACTGTTTACAAAAAAAATCTTAATGCTCAATTGTATGTTTATTGGGGAAAGCACATTGACATCAGTTTGGCTGTTTTCAGCCGACTTCAAAAAAAAGGAAGAAAGGAGGTTCTCAATTATACACTATGTTTTTTTTTTAATGTTTGGTGCGATTCCTTTTTGTCTCGATTTTTCGAAGGCACCTGGGCCTTTAGCCAAACGCTACTTTAGCGCTTGTCTACAGAGAGAGTAGAAATCAAAATGTATGGGGATGACACTGACAAGTGTCAAAATTTACGTCAATTCCATATAATTTGGTTTTCTATTCTACATGTAGACAAGCGCTAAATGGCCTTTGACTACAGCTGCTGGATCGATTTCAAATATTTTTATTTTAATTTAAAGGTTCGGTTTGTCATTTGGCCCCATTGTCATCAGGTCAGGATCTGATGATGAGACCCCAGGAAAACCAAGCAAAACTTTTAAAAATTATAGGGGCGACTTATGCAGCTGTTTATTTTTTCATTAAGTATTTAAAACCACTACGATTCGATTTTTCAAATCAGTCTAGAATTGATCTGATGATGAAGCCGAGAGCCCGGGCTTGAATTATTTGTTTTGATGAGGACCTTACGCCTAGGTGGGTTGTGATTGCCAATAAGGGTCGGATAATGAAGTTTTCTTTTTATTGCATAAGCCGGTAAACGAGCAGACGGATCACCTGATGGTAAGCAATCGGCGTCGCCCATAGACAAAAAGTATAAAATAAAAAACTGCGTTTAAAAAACTTGACTTCAAAAACGGAAAAGTAAAAAGTAAAATGCAAAAATGGCTATTATTGGTCATTCGTACTTACAGCTTACACGCCCACTGATAAGTGCGAAGTCGATCCACAAGTTTTAAACAAAATATTTTTCTTATGTGTTACTTACATTAATACTGTTCCGTTTACAAGTTTATGTAAAAGAAAAATAATGAAAATGATGTGCCTAATATTTAAAAATTTTGCAGAAATCAAAGAGATTGAATTATTGAATGGAAAGACATATTGCATGTTGGGTGACTACACTTATACTTATCTTCGTATGACTAAAAATGGATGGTCAAAATGGCGATGTACAAATACGTCACAGTGCTTCGCTTTCTTTGAGGCTATTGAATACGAGAGACCAAGACGACTAATGAAAATGTCCGGAACACATGCCCACGGACCACCCAAATACCGTATTACGAGTACTGGAAAGTATGTCAAGCTGTAGAGGTGTAAATTATTTTGTACATATAGAAATACTTCGAAAACTATAAGTAAGATCGTCAAAAATACGTCCTTTCCTTTCTATTTCTTCTTTCTTCTAATCCCATGTTCTTTCTGATTCTTCTTTCTACGTAGAATTAAGCTATAAATAAATTATACTGAATATATAGTTCAATTTCAAATAAAAATATTGTATTATTATTGTTATTCATAAGTAATTTCGTATATGATGTTCAAAAATCTATGCAAGTCATCGGTGTACCCAGAGGAAATAATTATGGTGTAACCAGTGAAACTCGTAAGTATTGTTCGATGAAAACATTGGGCCTGTGTATTTTATGAGCGCAACCACGACACAAAAGAATAGTATAAGGTTAGGTTATCCGGGATGTCCGACTGGATTCCCCACTGACGGTTCGAGTCACTATATTAAGCGGCGACTGTTGGCGCGAGCGCTGGGCCCGCTCGAGCAAGGCGTGGGCGGGGCTTCGAATTTTGATTTTTTAGCGAACGCGAATTTTTAACGTTACCACCATTTTTTTATCGTGCTACAAAGGAGGTTTTTATCATAAAGTTGCCTACAACTGTAATATCAAGGCCTTTAGCTAAACGCCACTTTAGGGCTTGTCTACAGAGAGAGTAGAAATCAAAATGTATGGGGATGACACTGCCAAATGTCAAAATTTACGTCAATTCCATATAATTTGGTTTTCTATTCTACATGTAGACAAGCGCTAAATGGCATTTGGCTACAGCAGCAGACTACAATAGTTGGAGAATAAACCAGCTTGCGCACGATGGCCGCAAAGACATCTGTGAAGGCAACGGTAGGAACATTATTTAATAAAATCAAGATTGTTTGCAAGCTATTTTATACGACAAGTAAAATAAGAATTAATCTGTCAAAACCCCGTCAGACTCAAAAGAACTTCAGACTCAATCATAAACTTCTTGCATCCGAATACTGAAAGGCTACTCAATTTTAAGTTGTACTTAAGTATCGGGATGTCTCTGTGATTTTACATAGAATTTGTAGAGACAGAATTATACTTAAGCGCGACTTCAAATCGATCGTTGGAGTCAGTAATAATGTCAACTGGATATAAAATATCATTATGTTAAAGTAATATTTAAACCAAAATAATTGTTGCAGATTTAATAGAAATCGAATTGGTATCTGAGAAAAAATATTACATGTGGAACAACTACACATATTCGTTTTGGTATAAGACTAAGTGTGGAGCGAAATGGCGTTGTACGAAAACGTCTATATGCCGTGCATATATCATAGTCAGTGACTGTGGTGAAGTATTAAAAGTTTCCGGAACACATAACCATAACCCTCGGACATACATGCTGACAGGTGATGGAAAATATGTCCACGTGTAAACTGTGTCTGAAGATAATCGAATACTTA